ATTTGATTTTCCATTATCCCAATATGTTGAATACTTCCTGATTCACCCTTGTTCTGACAAGTGAGGCAGTGGCCATGCTGCATGACAAGGCTTTGGCAACCCTGCTCCAGTGACACCTGAACTGGATCAGCGCTAAGGCCGGTTTTTCCAAAAATCTAAACATTCTGTGAGTGTAGAACGGCCCGTGCGTCGCTACACTGTGATGCATGAATTTGATGAAGCCTTGTTTCATAGATTTCTCAAGACTTGAACGTGGTGTGCAAGTGCCGCCCCAAAGTCACTGGCCTCCTCCACCGCTGCTCTCGTGGCAGTTATTTGTATGACTTATCAGGTTCCTTCTCGAAGCGGTTTCCAGTACCGTTTCTTGAGCGTACATAGGGGGTAAATGAGTGAGCGTATATATTTGGTATCTAGTTTGTGGACCATAAGTTAAAAATGATAATATAGGTCTGTTCTAGCATTCTAGGGAGTAGGCCTTCGTCAACCTGCAACATCTGAGCCGTGGCACAGATGGGTCATTAAACTTGCTCTGAACGCTTCGTAGTCGGGACGAAGCAGGGGCTTCCGGGTTCCTTGAGGTACACCCACTTTTGCAGAACAGCAATCTAGCTTTTGTTGAAGAGCCAACCACTTTGAGAAGGATTGCCTGCCCACATCTTACCACATCTTACCCGCGACCTAGTCCGTGCCGTGAGGCTCATCTTTATCTGCAAGAAACTCCGGAAGAAAAGCTTCTTCGTGGTAAGTGAGGAATTGACAGCCGGGTTGGAGGGACGAATGATGAGGGGTGATGGAAAGATTACTGCAGGCATCCACTCCCCCATTCCCTACTAACCACCAGTCAGATATGTGTCTCTCTGCAGGCATCCTTCAGAGTCTGTACCCTTTGGATTTCGGGGCTTACTCCCTGCGTGTTCGATCAGCATCCCTCCCACTACGCAGGAGATGGCTCCACGGGTTAGCTATGACAACAGCACAGACACTTGTGGAGCCTCCAGAACTCATTGGGGAGTCTCCAGAACATGGCTCGCTTTCATGTAGCACTAATTACTAGATCTCTGGTTTGAAAAACCCGAGTAGGTGTACTGTGATTGCCTTAGTAGACTTTCTCATGGCATACAGCGAAAGAGCTTTTGTGACCGGATTCACAACAGATGAATATTTGGGGGTTTAGGATGTACGGTTTAGGATATCAGTACCTTGGGACTTGCTGATTGTGGCATGTTAGAAGTGCACCTGGGGATGCAGAACAACACGGCAAACTACCGTATCATGGGGGGTTATGTAGGGGCTTATATTAGGACTCATGGCTCAATTCCTACTAACAGCCAGTAAGAAGAAAGGAGCACGACTGGCTCTCAACGACACTGGACTTGGGATGCGTCGGATTGAGTTTAGGGTGTAGGCTTTACCGTTTAGGCTGTTGTCCTCACGAAAAATTGAATCAAGTGAGTGTCTTGGCTTGCGGTACATTGTAGACGCTAAACCCTACCTGGTAAGCCTAGTCCGCCAAAAGTTTCTACTTTCGAACAAAGTGGTCGGAAAAATTGGGCCGCTGGCTTTCCAGGTGAAACCTGAACCCTGAAGGCATTTTGTGCAAACATCACCTGGCACCGAGGCCTAACAATTCGTCTCGGCGGCCCGTCTTCCCGACGTCAGGTCCTTGGTGCTTGTGCTTACGGGAGAGTGGATCCCTATACTAATCCCTGTATCATTCCCATACCCTCAAAATTGTGCAACCCTAAACCAAACCGCTCGTCTTGCGCAGGGAGAGTCAGAAAGTCAAGTCTATTGCGCTGCTGTAAAGGAGCTTACATTAAGTTACCATGATTATATGTAATAATATGAACATATAGTAAATCACAGGGTTTCCTTACCATGGTACCCCTAAACCCTATATACCCTGAGGCCTAAATCCTATTGACCCTAAACCCTAGTGGACTTAGGGTTGACGGGCTTTGGGTTTAGGGCTCTAGGATTATAGGGATGTAAGGTTTAGAGTTACGAATTTCAGAAGTTCGGAAGCATTGGCCCAAGTTTGAGCTGGAATGCATGCCCGTGTGTTCTTGCTCTTTTGTTTGTTGATAGTGCTTGACTTCCAAGATCTACCCAAAAAGCCCAAGAATACCCCTAACCACCCCCCCAAGAATAAATATTCGGCCCAATATATATATATATATATAGTATTTTTTGCTGGGGTGAGCTCCGAGACCTACCCAAAGACCACTCTCAATGAGACATGACCTAGTTCTAACTAGGCATGGCAGAGTTCAAGCCACAAATTATTAAACTCATCCTGAAGATCCCTGAAAAAACACCCCGAACGCCTTCCACTCCGACACTTGAGGATTTAGGGTTTAGGTTGCGTTGAGCTACGGAACAGTCAGCCCGATTATTTTCCTGAGTTGAATCAAGGCACATGGCTCGCATAATGAACCAGTAGCGATGTCGCTTCTTCTCCTGCGCCTGCGGTTTGCCTTGGGAGGCTGAGGTATTAAGGGTTACAGTAGTAGGCCTTATCAAGCCCTAACTATAGAGTCCTCATTAGCTCATTAAACCTTGCCGGGGTACCTTTGGGGGGATGTCATCTGAATGTTAATCCCTGAAAGATGACAGGGCGCTAAGGTTTGGGGTAAAACTCAACGTGAAGTACAGTTCCTACAGAGCTTTCCTACAGGAACTGTTGACAGAACTTACTGTAGAGCGCTCCTGGATTCAACCAGGCTTACGGTAGATACCGTGCATGTTCACGACACCAGCGGAGAAGTCAAATTCCTATGCTTCACTGATGCATGAGTTTCCATAAAGTAAATAGGAGGTCCCCAATACAGACCCCCAAAAATAGGATAATCCTCATTACTGGGTCCCATCAAAAAGGGTACCTTTGAATTTGTAAAACCCATACCTTTATTATCCCAGCCTCCATTTCATTGCCCATTCGATTCTCTATTACAGTACTAGAAGTAACATCAACGGTGATATCCTTTCACCCTAAACCCTAGACCCTACATAGTAGTTTCCATTTTCCCACTGTCTCTATTAAATTAACCCCTACATCACCTTATACAATCCCTGCATGACATCAGCAGGGAAGGTGCCTAAGTTGGCCTGGTCTGGTTGCAGCAACTGCAAAATTTATCAAATGATGACGTGGCCGTGTCCAGGCTGAATTCCCGAGAAGTCGCCCTTTCAAAGGCTTTTAGCGGTTAATTTAGGGGTAGATAGGGATATTATAGGGATTCATCGTCTTCAGGGCTACTAAAAATTGGGGGGACCTTGTTTGAGGGTTCTTACACCAAGACTTGTAGTATGTTGGGGTTGAGAATGAGTTGCCCTTTATTGGGGGCAACCCCGTCTGGTAAATCTCGCTTGCACACATGAACCAGAAAGCTGGCTGCAAGCTGCGCAAAAGCCTTACCACTAACATCCTAGACCCCAAACCCTTCCAGTGTTCATCGACCTCACCCACCTCGCCGGACTGTGGGCTCAAGCTTGTTGCCAAGAAAAACCATGTGTTGCCTTTCCATCAGAGATATTTCAATGTAAGGCCCAAACAGAGGCACTTTGGCACACATCTTGAGACAATCTGAAGCCGTGTCAACCAAGTGGGTCACAGCCTTCGACAGCAACTCACCTTCTGACACGTCAGCTACATCTATTTTCCTGATCAATATACGTAGTGCTACGGTCACAGTTGACATTGTGCTTCATACTGCTCTTCTTACTGCTTTTTTGCATGCCCATCATCAATATGCAGGGCGCACAGATGTTGCCCTCCAGCGCCATGCTGTCAAGCAGGCGAAATAGGCAACCTCGGGGTTCCAGGTCCGAGGGTTGGGGTTTGAAGGGCTTAGAGTCTAGGGTTTAAGGTTTTAAGGTTCAAGGCTGTAGGGTTTCGGGTCTTGGGGCTTGAGGCTTTGGATTGTGGGGCTGAGTTGTGGAGTTGGGATGGTATTTGTGATGGTGGCCTGGCCTGCTTCAACGTTAATTACAAGAACTCTTTGCGGCACTGGTTACAGATGTAAGGGACAGGGCGTCAGCCGTCAAAATCAATACTGCTGCACGTTTTGCTGAGACTTCTGCGAGGATTTGATGGAGCTTTGTTGCGGCAGTGCCTTTTAGACGATTTGGCCCCTCCAAGCCTCTCATGCGGCTCTAGTGGTAGTGGGGCCTTACCATGCCGCAAGCAAGAAACTCTGCTGAAGAAGGGGGGGCCAGCAGACGCTCTTCGGATGTAAGTTATTCCCTCAAGCTAAACAAACCCAGCTCAAAAGCCTTCTAGCACTCTAGCGAACTCACCGACCTCATTCTAGGGGTGTCCTGAAACTGCTATCCCTTGAAGGACTGTGTACTAACCCCAAGAAACCTTTTAACAAACCTGCTTATGCAAGGTCTGGGATCTTACAGGAAGCTTGCTTTTCAGTTTTGATGGTGATACAAGCTTCCCCGAACAAAGAGCTACAGATTGGTTATTGGTAGGTTTCCATGGTAAACCCTGAACCCTTGGCCCCTAACCCTTAACCTTTAACAAATGACCCTGCACGCTAAACTCTTAACCCTAAACCTGTAACAAAGGACCCTACATCCCAAACAGCATTGTTGCAACAGGCCGACACTCCCTGTTGGACTCGTTCTGGTTGTGGTCGTGACAGGAAGCTTGCTCGGAGTCTTGTGGGTTTATGTGTTTTCAAGCCACGCTGGCAAAGGATAGTATCGGTGCATGCGGCCACAATTTGGGGCTCAAGTATGGGGTTGTTGCTGACAGGTTTTTTGAAATCAGGTCGCAATTTCTGAGAGCTTTCGCATGATGCGCCCGTTGGCTGTCGTTCGTCTTGAGCCCCAAGGGCATTTGTTGTACCAGTTGTATGCAATGCGTAGGGGTACTGTTGGCAGTTTTGGGTCTTATCAGCTGATCTGCCTACCTACCTGCTTACTGGCAAATGCTTTTATGTATTGCAGTGCCGAAACACATCGCAGCATGTTCCACCTTGTTTGCAAGCCGTTTTTGCCAGGACTGCCCCGTGCCACTGCACCCACGATGATGACACAGTCTATTCTTCACATTTTGGGTCTGCTGTGCAATCTGAGGAACGCAGCTGCTGCAGTCGTTGTGGTCCATCCGGTCTTGGGTTGCAACCACCCGGCCTACAAGATCCCCACTGAAGCCGCGACCAGCGCTGGGAGAGGACGCAGACGTCAATGGGGCCGCTTGGGCCATGTACAGAACTGATTGGGAGCACGGGGGAGAATGTTCGGATGATGCAAGGGTTATTATTGTTCTGGGGACCACCTCCACCACTCACCTGAAAGATCAGTTTAGAATGAAGGTTTTTGTTTGGGATAGACAGCCTCCCCTACCCCGCAGAGCTTCAGTTAGTTTGAGCAATAGTAGTGCTACTTCTCACGACCGATGTTGAAATTGAAATAAGAGCGGTAGGCACATTTATGTTCATACTGCTGTGCCAACTGAAATGTATCTGACATCTTTCCTCTTGTTCAACGTTCTCTGGTTTTGTGGGGTCCGGGTTCTCAACACAGGGACCCTATAGGTGTTTTTTGGGGGGTTCGGGTTCTCAACACAGGGTTCTTCTGGGTTTGGTCTCCTTTAGAGATCATACAGGGATAGTGTTGCCAATCTCCCATTGAGAAATGTTTGACACTGGTGTGCGTGGTATAAGGTTGTATTCTTCAATACCGCAATACTCTGTGGTGAGAAGAATAGAACTGTACTTCGTTCAAATACCCCACAATATTCACCCTATTATACTATGGTAGTTTCCATTTTCTTTTTCATTATTCCTAGATACCCCGAAGATATACCCACACGAAATAGCAAATTGAGATCAAACCGCAAGGCCGACCACGGAAATCTCCAAATCCAAAGGCTTAGATCGTGAGGTGCCCGAAATCCCATGGGATGAACCTTAGCTTAGATCATCGGCAACGAGTCTTTGTAAGTACAAAGACAAACAAGGTATACCTGGATGGCCAAGCAAAGGTATCCCCAACATCGTAATTGAAGCTATTTATGACATAATGAGGGTCCCACCTTTCGGGCCCCAGGGCCCATGATAGAAACAAGGGAGAATCACAAAGGACAACTTTCAAAATAACATGCAAACTTGAGAGCTATACGGGGGCTTTATAGGGCGTTATCTGCTTTGAGGGTACAATTTACTACAAGTACGTAAGCATTACGAGGGATAATGTGCCTATTTATTTGATTTTCATTGGGAGTGGCTAACAAGAGCGTTTATGCCCTAAGCCCCAAACTCCACACCGTTAAGACCTGACCCCCAAACTCTGAAGCCTAAATCCCCAAACCCCAAACTCTACACTCCAAGGCTTGAGCCCCAAGCCCTAAATACTACATAGTACTGTATCGCTTTCCATTATATCTATATACCCCTAAGCCCCTAAAGTCAAGGACATGCGAAAGGCGGAGGACTGGCTTTCCTTTAGCAGCTCAAAAGCACCTTAGAGCCTTCTCCGCCCCTTTGTGGGGGGGGGAGGGGGGGAGGGGGGGCGGGTGGAGGGGGGGGGGGGGGGGGGGGGGG